TGCCCGAAGTCTCTTAACTACTGATGTGATATTAGTGGGAATGAAAATTACAATGGAAAGTGAAATTGATTTAAAATTCTTGTGCTGTTGTGTTTCCTGGACTGCAACCATGCCAAAGACAAAAAGACAAATCCAGAAAACATGAAACTTGCCGTGTGTGCAGAGTTCGTGACACATTGTCTTTGCGTTGTTAAGAATGTACAATGTGTTGGTGGGTTTCAGGGGCTCTCTTTTACGAGCGCACACATTTTTATGACTCTCTTGAGAAGAAACTCTCAGAGTATTAATTTGATAAAGAGTTCAGGGATGTTCTTCGGTTTGCAACATTATGCCAAGGCTCACAGCATCAGCAGCAAGGAAACTGCAGAGCTTCGTAAATGGATGCCTACGAAGGATAGTGGGGATCAAGTGGTACGATCGAGTCACGAATGCTCAACTGTGGGAGACAACAAGCCAAAGGCCAGTAAAGGAAGATATTCAGGTGAAGAAATGGAAATGGATTGGACACACCCTGAGGAGACCCCGGACAAGCATCATCAGGCAGGCCTTAACATGGAACCCACAAGGAAAGCGTAAGAAGGGAAGACCTAAGATGACATGGAGGCGAGCGGTATCAGCGGAAATTGAAAAAGCGGGGACATCATGGAAACAGATAGAAAAGGGTGCTCAGGACAGGCTTCGCTTGAGTAATGTTGTTGATGGCCTGTGCTCCACTGGGAGTTAAAAAGGGCAAGAGAGAGAGAAAGAATAAGACCTATTCAGCTGGAAAAAACTGATTTTCTAAATTCATCAAACAATACAATAAACTAAGAATTTAAAATCCTGAACCCCCAACATCGGCTGGAATAACTAGTTTCAACAAGCACACAGTCAGAACCTTTATGGAGAAGCTGGAAGAAGTTATAACCCAGTACAACTTCAGTGGAAGTGACATCTACAACCTTGATAATACATGGTGCTTTTTGTGTTAGGGTTTTTACGATACTTGCAATACAAATAGGTCATATTGCCGAAGATTAGAGATTATACTAGAGAGTAACATACAAAGAAATTAAGAATAGGAGAGATAAGGACAGCAAATCGGTACCCTAGAATTACAAAGTTCTGTCTGCTTACATCCTAGTTTTGAGAAATTTGACGATATATATTTTGAGTTTCAAAACATGTTAAGCTTTTCCAAATGCAATTATTTTAATATCATAAGAACGACTCCAAATGATCTTACGATTTTGATAGAACAGATAGAACATTTGGTTTCTGACCTCTTGGTCTTAGTAACTCAAAACGGTTGAAAATGTCAGACAGAACTTTGTAATTCTAAGGTAGCGAGATGTAGAAGCAGGGCGTTACACATAACACAAGGTAAAAACTCATTGATAAGGGGGAGAAACAATGTGCCCAAACCAGACCGGAAGAGAAACGTGAGCACATCACAGCTGCTGGCATCACCCGTTTGATCAAACACGCGGTACAGCGTCGATGCATGGACATGACATGCCTTCGGAGAGCTTTTTGCGGTAGGTTCTGCCACTCCTGGACGAGGAAGCCCAAGAGTAGTTGAAGATTTTGTGTAGGGGGGGGGGGTAGTCGTCCCTTATCCACCGGTCAATGTGGTCCAAAATGTTCTCTATTTGGTTCATATCCGGACTACAAGCTGGCCAGTCCATGCAGGTGACAGCTCGCTACTGCAAGAAGTCCCCAACGATGCGTGCGCGATGTGGCGTGGCGTTGTCGTCCTGCAGAACAGCCTGAGGTCCAACTTGCTGCAAAAGAGAAACAGCAAGGGGACATAGGATTTCGTCCCTGTACTTTGCGGGATCAAATTGCCCCATATATGGTCAGGGATTGGGGGAGGGGTTCCTGTGGTGAACTGAGAAGCCTCCCCACCCCAGAACAGACCTTCCCCCGTAAGGCACCACCTTCTAGATGCAGTCAGGGTGGAACCGCTCTCCTCGGTGCTTCCAGTCGTGGGCTTGCTCGTTTATGTGCAGCAGGTTGAATCTGGATTCGTCCGAGAAGACTACCTGGTCTCATTGACGTCATGTCCACTGTGAATGTCGAGCAGACCACGCCCGGCGAGCTGCTTTGTGGGGCGGCGTGGGCCTTGGGCGCCTGGCAGAGACACGAGAAACGAACCTAGCACAACGGAGACGGTTCCTCGCCGTCTCCTCGCTCACATAGACATTGGCTATCTCCCGTAGTTGGCCCCTGATGCAGTTTGCAGAGGTGGGTAAAGACGTCACGGCCTGTCTGACGTTGAACTGGTCGATCCTGTCGTTGGTCAAACGGGGCCGCCCTGGTCGAGGCCTTACGTGGACCCTTCCGGTCGCTCACCATCGTTCTTGCAGCCCCCATATGACTCAGGGGGGACACACCCAAGTCTATATGCAACAACTGGGAACGTTGAGCCATCTTGGAGCCAGGCAAGGGCTCGTCCTCGGGCAGCGAGCATCGTTGGACCATTCTGTTGTAATGAAACATGGCTGAATAACGCTGGCTTATAAAGGGTTTCGAGTGAGCGATATTCACCGCTACGACATCTGTTTAGCACATGCCAAGCTCAATTTCAGCCAAAAGTCCATATGCCAATGTTGCATGCAGAGACAGAGAAATTTCGCCAACACACTAGTTAACCTTGATTTATGACTTCACTATCAAACAAAAAATGAAATGTTTGCTTAAATTTAGATATCGCATCAAGTCAGGTTCCTTGTAATCTTCTTCGCTTATTTTGGTACGCTTATTCCGAAAATGAAGAGCATTTCAGCTGTTGTATTATTTTTATTTCAAACATCTAATTCTGCAGGGCGGCAAATTTCAAAAGGGATTCTGCGTCATAGCTCGTCTCTCACTATGGTCTGTCCTAGATCGCAAAAAAAAAAATTAAAAAATATCAGCCCTTGATTGTTTTCTCAATCTGGTCCCCAATCCATCCTCTGATCGTTCAATCTGTCTACAGTTTTGCATTTACACGGAACGATTTGTCGTATGAACAATTTATCTTTTTATGTAACCCGGCCTTAATTTATTGATATGACTCCTGAGGAAAAAAAACACCTATGAAAGAGGGGACACTGGTTCAACTCAGTTTTCCCAAAACAATACATTTCATTCCAAATTCAATCTGTTTAAATTAAAGATTATCATAGGGTAATAAGAGGATTTTGAAGAATGAGAGAGCAACCGGAGATGCTGTTCCTATAAGCATGTTAACGACCACAGCAGACAACCTTTGCTATGAATGTACGAGACTGTTGCATGGACTATTTTTGCGTAGTACTGACACTATATATATATATGCAAAATGTACATGCAAACAGTGTACAATGCCCACCTTTTTGAAGAGGCATGGCGGTTCAGTTGTCTTAGTAACTTCCAAAGTTCCTAGAAGTCCAAAGAACGCAACCCTAAAGCCCTAACCCAGCGGAATAATTTATTCTGCCTCAGCTAACTCTACGCATATAAGAATTATGTTCATCTGCTTTAAATGGACAATACTCATAAATATATGCGCATTTAGTCTAAACTTGGGCGCTTTAGGCATTTTCCTAATGAACACAACCAATGCGCTCTCGTACCTATAATGTGAAACTGTTCATGTTCGCTTAGCAAAGAAAGCAGTAATGCATCCAGTAACCATTAACATCTAATCAATATGTTATGATCAAGTCGAAAAGTAAAGACTTCAGTCTTATTCATCAGCAAATTTATGACTCCTTTTGATCAATTATTTATTATCGAGTAAGAAACAATACAACCCTTCACCCTTGCTGCTGCATTACGAATGAACCCCTACCCCTTCCCTTTTAGAATTCACCCATCGATAGGATAGCAGAGCACGGAGATAATCAACTTACTTCCAAAGTAACAGTGCGCCTTGGAGGTTCAGTCCAAATCACCTTTGTTTTTTTATCAGACCTTACTGATGTAGAAACCACCAGCTGTCTTGTTTTTAATTAACTATTAAGTCATTCGGGACGCTTATTCTGATCATTCGACAAGAATTGAAGATGGACTTTTGGGAACACTTTAAAACGGAGCATAACGTCATTATTCGTAAGTTTATTTCTATACTTATTTTTTTTAACTTAAAAAAGCAAGACAAAAATGCGCTTACTATGACATGTGCAAATTCATGTTCATAATTTATGTGTGATGAATCAAAATAGGCGTTTTCATTATCTTTGATCTGCTGCTGATTGCACATAATACTATGTGTCCACTCCGTCCTGAAAGACCACACTGTCCAAGGACGCAGACTTATTGAAGGATAGCTAAGGTTTGGTTTCATTATCAGTGTTACAAGTTTTCGTTTCTTCTTTCTTTCTTTAGCACAGGTTTGCCCCAAAAACGTTAATACTATTTTCTCGCATTGCCATGACCTTATTCTCTGATGACAAGGGACTTTAGCTGTTTATGAGCATAGTATCGATCCGGAGACGTCTCAGACGAAGATAGACCAATCAAAAATGCTTTGTGCCTCTGGGCCAAGTGAAAAACAGGGGGGGGGGTTACAGGAGGGCCTGCCTCTTTGTTTTAACCTATATATTTGATATTTTGCAGTTAGGTTTTTAATTTTCTTGAAAATAATTGATTTCCGACAGTTTTAGTGGCTATATGTGTAATCTTCATCAAACAATACGCAGTTTGACACCCAAAGCAGTGCATCTGTGTGCGGGAGAACGTCTCCGAATAGTTCCTGGGTGCTCGCAGAGATGTCTCCGAATATCTTCTGCCGTTTATGAGCAATAATATGTACTCCTTCCAGATACAGTTTTCTTGCTTTGACGAGTTCTAAATATGATGAGACTGAGACACTTTGGGTTTGTAGTCGTGGTGCTGAGTACAGTACACTGTGGTTGCTGCTTGGTTTTACCACCCATCTGGGGTTGGCGAGACATCCAAGAATCTCCCGGACAGCGTGTATTCGGCGCCAACTGGATCACCCAAAGCACTCACAATCTCCAGCAATGTCTACGTCTTTGCTGGTTATATAGAACATGTCGAGGTGTCAGCTACAGGCCAGACACTGGGCGTTGTATGCTGCACCCAGATTGGGACACAGTCAGCACAGCACAGTTTGTGAGTGATGCCAAGAGCGCTGTGATAGATATGCAGCAGGCTTCTGTTGACAAGGTGAGCTACAAATGACTCCCCATGCCTTGTTACTGTTTGATTGTACTTCATGGAACCTATTATGAATATATGTTTGCCCGCATATGTCCATCCATGGTTGCATTTGTATGTGAGCATGTGTGCGTGTCGTGGGAGGGGGGGGGTGTATGGTTCCCAAGCGGGCATGTGTGCATGTATGCGTGTGTGTGTGTGTGTGTGTGTGTGTGTGTGTGTGTGTGTGAGTTTGTGTGTATAAATGTAAGTATAAGCATGTGAAAGCGTGTGTTGGCGTGTGTGTGTGTGTGAGTGTTGTGTATATGTGTGTGCGTCTGCATTTGTGTTTGTATCTGCACTTGTGTTTGTATGTGTATCTATCTATCTATCTATCTATCTATCTATCTATCTATCTATCTATCTATCTATCTATCTATCTATCTATCTGTCTATCTATCTATCCATCTATCTATCTATCTATCTGTGTGTTTTGAAGGGGAGAGTGAGAGAGAGAGAGAGAGAGAGAGAGAGAGAGAGAGAGAGAGAAGGAGAGAGAGAAAGAGAGAGAGAGACAGAGAGAGAGAGACACACACACAGAGAGAGAGAGAGAGAGAGAGAGAGAGAGAGAGAGAGAGAGAGAGAGAGAGGAGAACAAGCTTTCGTCTTTTGGTCTCAAGGTAACATTAAACCCATATCATATGAATACTTTTGTCTTTGTCAAATAACCGGGCAAAATTAAAAAGTATGGAGAACGTTTTATCAGAATAAAGAGGCATTAAAAGAATGCCATAAAGGAAACCGAAGCCCCCAACTCAGGGAACACACTCCTGTCCAATTTCAAGAGAACTGTCATACTTTGAATTCCATTAACGAACTCACGGGTGTTACATTTTTTAACTGACATAATGAGATTATGATTCTCCATTTATTATTAGACCCACTTGAGTCTCTTCATATTTGAAGTTGAGAAATTTTGAAAGAGAAATCTTTCCTCTCTCAATTCAAAGCTCACTGTATATTTCTGCAACCACAGATCCAAATAGAAAGTTATTGTTTCTTTCTCATGATGTTGTAAAATTAATGCTTGACAGTGGTATAGTCCATACGCACATACCACAACATTAAGCCCAGAACACATTGAAGTCTTTATGCTGAAAAATGCCAGTGTGAATGCCAATGCACTGTGAGGAATTATTATAAAGGGTTCTCCATGTTCTACACAGTAATGCGTAAGAACAGACAGATATAGAAATTCATTCGTACCAACTGCAGTGAGGTTACAGAACACACAGTGCTACAGATGAAACAGAGAGAGAGAGAGAGAGAGAGAGAGAGAGAGAGAGAGAGAGAGAGAGAGAGAGAGAGAGAGAGAGAGAGAGAGAGAGAGAGAGAGAGAGAGAGAGAGAGAGAGAGAACGTTTTACGGAGCGGGTTGTCCCAGCCCGTGAGATATGCATTTACTTGGCCTAATATCATGTCTTGTTGTGCGTTTGCGTGAGTGCACCTTTAAGTCTAACTTTTGTAACGTCTACTGCCATTGTTAACGACGAAGACAAATTTCTCCCTGCGAGATGAATAAAGATTGTCATTGTCATTGTCATTGTAATGAGCCTTGACTTTACTCCCCAGAGAAATACATACGGGTGTGACACTAGGCCATGCTCTGAACATGAGATGTGTGCTCCGGTTTCTAATGTTTACACCTTTCAATGCATAAAACTAGGTGAGTGTTTACGTGGTGAATGTGCAATCATTACCTAAATTGAGAAATAAAATTGGCCAAAACACGGAAGGAAAATTGTAGATGGCCATTTCACGCGCGCTTTTTTTAAAATTTGTGCGTGGGTTTGTTGTTGTTGTTGTTGTTGTTGTTGTTGTTGTTGTTGTTTTGTTTGGGTTTTGTTGTTGTTGTTGTTGTTTTGTTTTGTTTTTGGGTGTGTTTTTTTTGTGTTTTTTTTTTTGGGGGGGGTTCCCTTTCATGCTGATTTGTAGACGTTACGTCTCATGCCTCTAATTAAAACTGCTCACAACATTTCAATTCAACTCTGTTACATTAAATACTTGCACACATTTTTTTTTTGGGCAAAAAAAGTTTCTTATACAGAATGAAGAAAACTTGTTAAGGGAAAGGAAAAGTCTTATTTTATTAACAGTGCCGGTATCATCAGTAAGGAAAAAAATAATCATGGATATAATTCCATTATGCATTTAAGAACAATGGAGTTTACTCGGTCTAACTGAAAAGGAATAGCGCATAAATAATGACTTTTGATGAACACTATCGTCAGCTTTAAACTTAATACAAATCAGAGACCACAATCTACGTGATTTGAGACAGATGTACTCGTAGGCAATTTTTTCACTGTGACTCTAGCCACAATGTTTGGATCTTTTGGGGTTGTAGAAAGAGAATATTTTGAGAGAGCATAGCGTAAACAAGGTATGGGTCTGTTAGGTTTTGACATATGTGAGGCAGTGTGGTGGAATCAGGCTCTCGTCAAAATAATCAAATTGAAGAAACCTGCATTTTTCCCCAGGTTTGTGAATTTTTATCTTTTTTTTGGGGGGGGGGGGGGGGGTTGGCTCTACACCTTTCATGCCCATTAAAGAACTCATTTCTGAGTGGATTTTTCTGAAAAACGTTGATTAAGGGCACGAAAATGGCATTTTCAGTTACCACGGACTCTTAAGCTAAGGAAATAACCAATCTTTGGCGGCCACTTTCTCACTAATTTTTCCTCTGAAAACAGGTGACCCCCACCTCCTTCATTTGCAAATATCTCCACCTGTATTCGAAATAAATGGACATTTTTCTTCATCCAAACAAAGACAAGTGAACACGCTTTAAGATAATACCAATAACTCTACATGCCCTTAATTGACGAGAGCCTGATTCCACCACGCTGCATCACATATTATTTGAAGCGTCGACAAAGATAGTACTGATAAGGTTTATCTCTTTACAACGAAGATTATTATTTTGATTTATTCGTACCTAATTGTTCTCTTTTCATCCCTGCTCTTGATCTAAACAAAAATTATTACCGTTCTATAAACCGATCAATGTTTAATTAGCATTGGAGAGATTTCAAACTATAAAATGATTATAATACTCTCGTCTTTATTGTATCAAATTTATTAAATAATTTTTCTTTCTCTCTGTCCGTCTTTCTGGAGCACGTTTCTCAATCAGAGTAAGTTTTTCTCTTCTTTCTTCTCTCTGCTTCAGTCTTCCTTTTCAGCATCAAGATAAAAAAAATCTCCTTCCATGCAGGGAACCTAATGGCCGTCTGCCGCGTGACAGACACAGATATTTACCACTGATATTGGATAATACTATAGCAATGACAAAACTCCCTTTGCTGCAAAACTACAATATGAATCCTGGCTTGTGCATGTCAGGACATCTTTCAGCAGCGTGTCAGTGTAGCGGGGGATGACTTTCTTTTCGATCATTTCTCACCTTGTCATCCCGAGCAAAAGCTCCACGTTGTTTGTTTTAGTAGATCTGGGACAATACCGCTTTTAAAAGCAAGTCTTATCATTTTTTCTTCTTATCGTGACACCATCTTTATTGAACCCATGTTTTGAGAACGAACTTTTGGTGGAAAAAATGAGTACATCGGTGACACTGTGTTCAGATTGGTACGAGGGGGCTCTCGTTGTCTAGGGGTTACGGTGTTTGCCTCTCATTCAATAGGTACCAGGTTCGAAACCTGTCAGTGATGGGAAATTTTGTTCTCTAAAATTCTCTCCTTTCACCTCCTTACCTGTTCTCTAACCATGTTCTGTCGTCTGCTTTTGTCTGTACTTTTTGCCCCCACCCCCACCAACTTTTGTCCCATCCTCTGGACTCCTTACTCTTTCTGATGCCTTTCTACTGCTACTCCTTGGCTCCTTCTTACTGCTGTCTTACCGCCACACCCCTGATCTTAGGGTAAATAAGATCTCACTCCTAGCCTTCTTGGATAAGAGCGAAAAATCTCGGAGGTCTCTTGTGCAAATTTGCACATGTTAGATATCACTTGGTGGTCCAAAATCGATAAGACTAGGCTTCGGGCGCCACCCGGGCAAAATTAAAAATTAATTGTTACCAAACTGAAATGCTTAATGTGTCCTGCGCTGTCATAAGACTTTATGCAGGTGCAAGCGCCTTAAAACACTAACCTAAGAAAAAAAATAGGTTGACATTAGTAGAAAAAAAATGAAAAAAAGCACAAAATTCTTACATTTAGACCACTAACTAAAACTTTAAAAAGCCACTTTCCCGTTGTCCCCAATTTATTCAGCACTGTCTGAGTGTGACGACGTGGCCCCAAGCGTGCCCAACGCCATCGCTGCCTCGGACGGCTTCTCTGCGGCACAGTATACATGTGAGGACGGCCATGTCCAGTCGGGCAGTAATCCCAGGTCTGTGTGTGAACGCGTCACGCGTCGCTGGAGCTCTCCTGACATGACGTGTGCACTATTGGAGTGCCAGAATCCGCCTGATGTTTCTAATGCCATGGTGAGTTCAGTTTAATTATAGATAGGTTAAGTAACACGATAATTGTCGTTTCGTGGAGACTAATGGCCATTTACGGCAGAATGGTACAGGAGCAACTGAGCTTCAAAAGAAATGCGTATGACTAAAGATCTATCAATGGTGCCCTTCGGCGATCCATACTATAATGGCTTCAAGTAATTTTATAAACCTCCA